CTCGTGGGCCGTCTCGGGGGGCCGCTCGCTTCCCCCCCGGGGCGCGCCGCCAGTCGGGAGAGGCGCTCGCGCACGGCACTCTCTGACGTCCACAGCCTGCGCGCGAGGCGGCGGCTCGCCGAGTGCGCGGGGGGGGGGGGGCAGGGCAGTGACCAGGGGGTGCCATGGAAGATGGGTCGAGTACGTCGGTAAGTTTGCCCTCCTGCCGGCGGATCTGGACAATCGAAGCATCGTCCCCAGACTATGTTTCACTGTTTTTGAGCACTCCTCCTGTAGAGGAGCGTGCCCGACTTACAACTAAAGGCAGGTGCACCCCGCGTGCACCTTTGGGGGTCCGGGGGGAGATCCTTTTGGGGCCCCTTCCCGCGAGCCTCGATGCCCCCCTCGAGCCATTCCAGGAGGAGGAGGAGGAGGAGCAGGAGGAGGAGGAGGAGCCGCCCACGAGGAGCAGGAGGAGGAGGAGGAGGAGGAGGTGGAGGAGACGGAAGAGGATGAGGAAGGGCAAACAAGTGCGTGAACATGATTGCTCTGAAGTCCGCGTGGGTTTCTTGGAGCTGCGCCGGACAGCCCTCCCTGGCGCGCGGAGCGTGCCAGTGGCGGCGCCAGAGGCGCCGCCAGGGGGGCCAAGCGCCGATCCAAGAAATCCGCTCGGACCTCCGAGAAATGATGCTTCTGCGCCTTCCTTCTTCGATCCTCGCCCCGCCCCATCACGGGCATCCGCTGCCCTTCCGCCGCTTTTCCGCCGACGACGAGACGGCAACTCCTCCGATCCTCGACGGCGAGGGCTAACTGGGGATATGTCGACCCCTATCCCAGGCCTTCCTGGGGTCTTCGGTTGGACCAGACATTCTGGGCCCAGCCCTGGGATATATACGGTCGGGGGCGTCCATCCTCGATAGGGGTGCGGCCGAATAGCCCCCCTGGGGTGTATCCCAGGATTTCCCCGCGGCGGGCAGTCTCTCCTCGCCCTCGCGCGCCCCTCTCTCCTCTGTCCTTCCTTTCTCTGCCCTGGCTGCCCTCTCCGCCTCTTCTTCCCTCCTTGTCTGCCCCTTCCTGCTCCTCCTTCTCTTCCTCCCTCCTTGTGTTGTCCCCTCCTTTCTCTCTCCTCCTCTCTTCCGAGCGGCTTCGTGCTTCGTCGAGAAGTCGGGGGCGGGTGCAGAAACATCGCCCGCGAAAGGCCGTTCTGGAACGCACCGCTTGGTGCCCCCCCCATGGGGACAACGATAGGGGGGACTGGTATGGGGAGGGACGCATCGACCTGGAGTCGGCGATACACCGCCGATAGATCGGAAATAGGCCCCGGATAGTGAATCCGCACCTTCCTGGGCGGGACAGGGCTATCAGACCTCTATCGGCGATCAATGGGCGATTGGGGGTCGATGCATCCCCCCCCCTGTGCCCATCCCCCCCATCGTTACCCCTGACCTCCAACGCGAGACGCCCGAGCTCAGCGAAGCTCGGGACTGCCCGGGGCCCCCGCCCCCCGCCCCCGCACCAACGGCGCGGACCTGGCGCCGATCCGGCGCGCGCTGGCCCAAGAAGTCCTCGCCGCCAGAGGCGGCAATCCAAGTACCCTGCGCGGACCTCAGAGCATTTCTGGTGCCGTTCTGGTCCCTCTTCGAGGATCGCCCTCCCATCGCCCCCCCCTCCGATCACGAGACGCCAGAGCTAGGCCGAGCTTCCGCCGGCGGAGGCGGCCTCCAGGGCCCTCCTCCTCCTCCTCCTCTGCCTCCTCCTCCTCCTCCTCCTCCTCCTCCTCCTCCTCCTCTGCCGCCCCCACACCCCTGGCGCCAGGGCTTGCGCAGGTGCTGCTCCGCGAACTCGGCCAGCTCCTCGCTGGTGGCACCGGTGGCCGAGGCGAGGATCTTCTGCGCCTCGCGCAGCTCCGTTTCCTCATTTTCCTCCTTCTCCTCCCTCTTGCTCCGCTTCCTCCTCCTCCTCCTCCTCCTCCGTTCCCCATCCTCCTCGTTGGCGGCTCCTCTTCCTCCTCCTCCTCCTCCTCCTTCTCCTCCTCTTTCTCCTCCTCCTCCTCCTCCTCCTTCCTCCTCCTCCTCCTCCTCCTTCACCTCATCTTCGTTCCTCCTCCTCCTCCTCATCCTCCTCCTGGGTGGTGCTAGGAGTGGTCCTGGCCCAAGGTGTCCCCTCCAAGCTTTTCGCGCCAGTTTGAAGCTCCGGCGGCCCTCTGGGCCTCGTGAGGTGTGCTCTGGTGGTCGTGGGGGTGTTCCAGAAATCCTGGGGGCGCTTTCGGCCAAGGACACATTTTGCAACCCTCGATCCTCTTCCCTCCGCCGTCGCCACATCCACTTTTCCTCCTCCTCCTTCTCCTCCTCTTCCTTCTTGCATGTTCCTTACAAGTAACTCCTCCCTGTCGCACCCCGAGACGTGTCCGTAGGGTGGGCTGGGCGTTTCGCCTGAAAACTTTTCACAGTTCATGATCCAGAGGCTTGGAAATCACTACAATTTCACAGATGGAGGGCGGGCTCTTCTCAAAACTAACTTCCGAACTTGCCGAAGCGCCGAGCATATTCGGCTTATGAGTTTACAACAGCTTCAAGAATGAAGGGCGGATAAGTTTCAAAATGTTACTATGATATTAGCGCAGCACATATTCATATTAAAAGCGTGCATCATGTTCAACGATGGACGGAGGGTGATCTCCACAAAATCTGACTCGTGCCGTAGCGCCGCGCAGACTCGTCTTGACAAGTTTGCAGCGGTTTCAAATATTGAAGGCGGGTGGGAGGGTTTTCAATGCGGCTCTCGCTTCAGCGCCGCGCACATTCGTCTGATGAGTTTGCAGCAGTTCCAAGGATGGAAGGCGGTTCCTTCTCAACATGTAGCTCTCGTCTGAGCACCGCGCACATTGATCTTAAAAAGTTTGTATCATTACAATGGCTCGTATTGTTGAAATCCCAGGGATGGTTCAGGCAAGATTCAAGGTCTGCCAGGACGCAACAGTCACATTGATTCGAGGTGTTGAAGTCCTGGGAATGGTGCTCTGTCGCAAAGTAGGAGTGTCAGGACGCAACAGTCACGTTGATTCACGGCGCTGGAGACCCAAGAATGGTCTTTTGGCACGATTAGAGAATCTCAATTGGCTGTCTTCTAAAGGGGCACTTCCCGCAGTGGAAAAATACGTTCTTGCGGGGACCTATGAGAGGGAACTTCGAGAGATGGTTTATTGCAACATCGTTGATGCGTCTTGGGCCACTCAATCCTCCTCTTCCATCCGCCGTTGCCCAAGCGGGATTATTGCCCTCGGGGCCCTCCAATCGAGATTCCTTGTTATGGGGCCCCCCATGTTTTGACTTCTTCTCATCGGACTCCGTATGGGTACGCCATCTCGCCCCGCAAAGAGTCAGAGATCTTGCCATGGACCATGAATGATTAACGATCCCCTCTCCTGGGGGACCCCACTGTTAGAGAAGAAAAAACAGCATAAACATAAACGTTTGGCGCTCCTCGCGGATTTCTTGGATCTGCGCCGGACACCCCTTCCCTGGCGCGCGGAGCGCGCCAGGGGCGGCGCCGGAAGCGCCGCCTGGGGGGCCCAACGCGGATCCAAGAAATCCGCACGGAGAGCCAACAGTGTTCATGGAAATTTTTCTTCTTCGAAATGTGGGTTCCTCCTCGTCGGGCTCCGCAATTGGGTTCCTTCTCGTGCACTCCCCAGTCGAGGCTCCCCATCCTGTGCCCCCATTGGGATTCCCCCTGCCCTGGGACGCAACCGCGCCACCTCCGCGAAGAGGACCCCGCGCCCGCGCAAAACTTTGGACGCCCGAAATGGGTACGGAAAGAACGGGTACAATGCCCAACAAACAAATTCCGTCCCAAACCAACAGCGGCCGCTGTTGGGCAGGCGGCCTTCTGTCTCGAATGGACACAGGCCGCGGCGGCGTGGACAGCGAGTCCTGTTCAAAATGAACAAGAACTGCTGCTGGGCATCGTACCCGTTCTTTCCGTACCTTCGTGCCGAAAAGCAGCGCCGAGTCGTCGCGGAGAGAAGGGCGACCCCCACCGGCCGCGGAGCGCGCCTCCCTCGGGAACGAAAAGATTGGGCGGCGCGCACAACTGAAGGGGCCCTGGGACACACAAAAAAATACACACAAATAACAGGATTCCCACATTTTCCAATATTTTCTGGGCTTCTGTCTTCCCCCCCACTTCCCACATGTTCCCCTACTTTCTTGGGGATCGACGATCAATTGTGTCTGTGTGCTTTTGTTCCCCTCCTGAGCAGCGGGGGGAGGGGGGCAGGCTGCTTGGAGGGAGGCTGCTCCCCCTCGGAGGCGCGGGCCCGGCATCTATATACAGACAGGGCCCGCGCCCTCGAGGATGCAGAGGTGCTGACAAAGCAGCCTTCCCCCCCTCCCCCGACAGGGCAGTTTCTCTATTACATAGGACGTTTGTTTTAAATATTGGATTTCGAATACATGATCCACTCATGAATAAACTTATGCATGAGCTCATCGTTGTTTTTAGTACTAAATCCCTGCATGTGTAATACATGATCCGCACGCGGAGCCTGTCTTAAAAACAACACTGTACCCAAAAGGGGGTGAGCTTTCGAGGCGACCCCCCCCCGTCCCCTCCCTCTTGGCTGTTCCAGCTGGAGGGCCCTGGCTGTTCCAGGAGGAGCGCTGCGGCATCGCTCGCGCGTCCATTCCCTGTGTTTTTTTCGTTGTCGTGCGTGTTTTTTCGCCATTTGGTCAAGGATGCTCCTCGATGGCCCTCGCCGAAGAACGAACGCACACGTCCGAGCGATGCCAAGTCAAGTCGCGCAGCGAGACCCCTGCGGAGGCGATCGGGGCTCAATGGACGGGGGCCAATGCAAAAAGCAAACGTGGATCAGCCAGCGCGCCGGATCTTGCAGGGTCCTGCAGGGCTAGCTTCGCACTGACCCGGGCTTGGGTGCAGGACCATGCAGGATGCTGCAAAGCCTGGACCTGGGTCTGCGTGACCTGGGTCAGCAGATCCCCGATGCGACGCAGTTGCGCCAC